TATTTTTTTTTTGTGGACTTAGTATTTTTTCATGTGTTGTGGACTTAGTATTTTTTTGTTGTGTGGACTTAGTATTTTTTTGTTGTTGTGTGGACTTAGAAAATTTTCCATCCTTTATGGACTTATAATAATTTCATGTGTGGAATTAGTATTTTTTGTTGTTGTGTGGACTTAGAAAATTTTTCGTTGTTTGTGGACATAGAATAATTTTCATGTTGTGGACTTAGTTTTTTTTCATGTCATGTGGACTTAGAAAATTTTTCATCCTTTGTGGACTTAGAAAATTTTTCATGGTGTGTGGACTTAGTATTTTTTGTGGTGTTGACTAAGTATGTTTTTGGTTGTGTGGACTTAGTAAATTTTTCGTTTTTTGTGGACATAGAAAAATTTTCATGTTGTGGACTTAGTTTTTTTTCATGTGTTGTGGACTTAGTATTTTTTTGTTGTGTGGACTTAGTAATTTTTTGTTGTGTGGACTTAGTATTTTTTCATGTGTTGTGGACTTAGTATTTTTTGTTGTGTGGACTTAGTATTTTTTTCATGTGTTGTGGACTTAGTATTTTTTTGTTGTGTGGACTTAGTATTTTTTTCATGTGTTGTGGACTTAGTATTTTTTTGTTGTGTGGACTTAGTATTTTTTTTGTTGTGTGGACTTAGTATTTTTTTCATGTGTTGTGGACTTAGTATTTTTTTGTTGTGTGGACTTAGTAATTTTTTGTTGTGTGGACTTAGTATTTTTTTGTTGTGTGGACTTAGTAATTTTTTGTTGTGTGGACTTAGTATTTTTTGTTGTGTGGACTTAGTAAATTTTTCGTTTTTTGTGGACATAGAAAAATTTTCATGTTGTGGACTTAGTATATTTTTCATGTATGTGGACATAGAAATATTTTGAGCATAATAAAAGAAAGTATATAATCAATGTCTTTATTTTTCCTAAGTTAACATACAGCCATATTGGATTTGGAGAAGCAAAGCATGATGTTGTAGAAAACGGGATGTCATAGAAAACGGTAGTTTTGGAGCCAGAGAAATTTCCCATTTTCTTTGATGGTTTCCCATTTTCTCCAAGTGAACAGAAAACGGGATTTTTTTCAAATTCACTATCTTATTATTAAGATAGGCTCCAGCCATCCCTTCTTTTTTTTTATAAGTTTTTTTTTTTAGAGTGTTTATTGAGCAACAAAGGTGATTTTTCAACTGAAAGAAAGTAGTTATTCCAAATTAGTTTTAAGTTAGTATTTTAATGTTTTGTTTGCAAACTGACTTTAACCATATTGTCAATAGGTTTAGTCATAAAGCTCTCTCGACACAGATATCGTGTCTATGGACTAGTCGTGTGATAGATCGACAATGTCCGAGCTTTTGTTTGCAAACAAACATCAAAACACCAACTCACAACCAATGAAGAATAACTACTCTCTCTCAGTTGAAAAATCACCTTTGTTGCTCAATAAACACTCTAAACAACACCACATGTGTTCCCGTGTACCTGTCAGAAAAGGGAGAAACAAAAACAGCATTACAAGTCAAATTATTCAACACATTAACTAATCTCAATGATGCATTTCAACTACTTTACTTATAATCAACTAATCTCAATAATGCATTTCAACATCTTTACTTTACTTTACATATAATCATATTACATCAACTAAACTCAATGATGCATTTCAACATCTTTACTTTACTTTACATATAATCATATTATCTCAATGATGCGTTTCAACATCTTTACTTTACTTTACATATAATCATATTACATTAACTAATCTCAATTCTTCACACATTACCTTCATCTTCTCATGTCGCTCCACTTCTTCTGGTGCCTAATCACTTGTCGTCGTCATCTTCTACCTTATGTGTCACTCAAAATGCACATCAGGCAATAAAGAAAACACAAAATTCAACTCAAATACATATATTCTATACACTTGGCAATATAATACAGTACAGTACATCATCTTCATAGGGACAACACCTATGCATTCACAGAACATCATCTTCTCGGCTCCATACACCCAGGACAACGGCTAGAAGTTCACGCGACATCGTCACAGACACGACAGCTATGCATTCACTGGACACCAGCTTCTCGGCTCCATACACCCCGGTCAATGGGACGACGGCTATACGTTCACAGGACATCATCTTCTCCCCTCACTGGTACCACGGCTATTAGGTTCACAGGACATCTTCTCGGCTCCAGTCACGACACCTATACCTTCACAGGACATCATCCTCTCGGCTCCATACACCCCGGTCACTGGAACACAGGACATCTTCTCTGCTCCAGTCACAGGGACAACAGCTATACATTCACTGTACACCATCTTCTCGGCTCCAGTCACAGGGACGACGGCTAGAAGTTCACGGGACATCTTCTCGGCTCCAGTCACAGAGACGACAGCTATACATTCACTGGACACCATATTCTCGCCTCCATACACCCCGGTCACAAGGACAACAGCTAGAAGTTCATGGGACATCTTCTCAGCTCCAGTCACAGACACCTATACATTCACTGGACACCATCTTCTCGGCTCCATACACCCCAGTCAATGGGACGACGGCTATACGTTCACAGGACGCCTTCTTCTCGGCTCCAGTCACAGGGACGACGGCTATACTTTAACAGGACATCATCTTCTCGGCTCCTTACAGCGACTTCGCCCCGTCGCTTCAATCTGAAACCGACAAAACACAACAATGGAGGTCAACTCGTAATGGCCTTTTCTATCAAATGCAGTCCACCCGTCGGCTTCGTCACTCGGGAAACTCTTCATGGTGCTCTTCTTATACTACCTACAATATACACTTCACGGCCACACTTCTGGGCAAACTATCATTGCTCAAATAATTCACCCACAAAAACACTATCTCTTGGTATGGAGCAACCTCCGCGGTTATTCCCGGCTCCGTCGTCGACGTGCCTCTTCCTTTCTTCGTAACCGCCGAGGTAAATGCACAATACTTGGTCGTCTCCTTCCTTACTCTTACCACGAGGAACATACCCTACACCACTCGCTCCACTGAAAAAAAAAACATCCATAATAAACACCATTCCAAAAAGTGTTCATGCATCCACTCTCCTTCACGATCAACAACACTCTCTTAGACATATCTACCAAAACCAAATTGCTTCCTTTTAAACCGCTACAAATACCAACATACACATACTCTACTACAAACCATTCACCAAGGCTAGTACCAATCATTACACAGCCTCCAGTGTGTAACAACAATACTAGCCTGCTACCAACTAACTTCTATACAATTACAATACATACCCACAACAAATTCACCTTTCATCTTAACCAAATTCAAACAAACGCTTCCTCTTTAACACAAACAATCGGCTCCTTACCCTTTCGCTCCCATCTCCGTCGCCGAATAACCACTGGCTCTTCCACCATCACTGCCGCTTACCACTCCAATCCGGCCTAAAAAAACAAACACATCAACACATTAGTTCCCCCACAACAATTCATAAACCTTTCACGCCCTAAACCGCTCCAACGCCACTCACCAATTATATATATATGCCTCTACACTAGTCCCAACATTTCTATTACCTGCTACATCCATTCTCCACATATACTAATCCAAAACTAACCTACAATTTACATCACTATACACGTCTTCCAACAATTACATTCTACTCAATTTCTTACAACTAAATTCACTATGACCCTAAACTATCACAAACAATTCACGATGCACCACACCACACTACTTATCTTAAACAACTGCTGCTACCGCCGCCGCCCCTGCTGCTGCTGCTTCTTCTCCTCAACACAGTCCATTGCACAGCCCCATACATGTAGTAGTCCACCACTCCATCCTCAAACCTGAAAAACAGAAACCTTTCACACAACCTCCATAATGCACCATGCTTATTTCTCCCAACTTTAAACATCACTGGGTACTGCTACCCGAAAAAACTCCTATATCACTTGCCTCTTATAACAAACTTTACCTACAACTTTCAAATACAATAACAACTCACCTTCAAATAATACATTGCACAATTTCACATCACCGTATCCAGTGTCGACGCGCTCCTCCACCACCAACATGAAAACAAAAAACAATACGTCAATGTTACAAATGCTCTACTCTTCAAATTATAACAAAGTATACGTACAACTTCAATAAACAATACTTACACATTTACTGCCTCTCATTTCCAAAATTCAGTCGAGCATTAATGTCCCTCTGGATTATCACACACCAATCACGTCTTCTGGACTGCAACAACTCCTGTACAAAACAATTACCACATCAATAACCACGACCAAAGTCCCTCTTCATTTTCATATCAAACACACCCCACCTTCAACATTATACATTACCTTTTAGCACATGCTGCACACGGCGACTGGTTACAACACTTGGCTCCTTTCCAACATCGACTTCTCCCCCACCTCTGGATGGCGACCATACTTCCTCTTGGTTAGTCGATACAGTCAACACAACACTATATTCTACTCTAACATTTTTCGATTTCTCATTATCACACTTTTTGAGAATGGGAGGGGCCGAGGGGCATCCCCCCTCACCCCCCTTATTCCCATGCAAGGTGAAGGGCACAAGCGCCTACACCGCCCAACTAGGCAGCATGCCAACTTTGTGCTTGCCTAAAGGATCATAGCATTTTATGTCAAGAGCATACAACCCTCCAGTCTTTAACATTTTGTCGGCTAGCTCCGACGACTTTTACCCAGATACGAATTCGCAACTTTCGATTTACAACTGGTACCTACTTTACTGCTAGGTCAACAGGGACACAGGGGGTCTAGGAAGTGTGTCCAACCCACTTTCCACCGGCCCGGGAATCGAACCCGAGACGTCCCGCTTGCGAGGCGAGAGCGGTACCGCTCTACCGCCGGCACCCCCACTTTTGGGTTGGTGACCTTTGGTAGGCGTGGGCGCCGTCAGCTGCGGGTACGGTTCGACTAAGAAGTTCTTTCACAGGTTTATACACTCACTTATGTCTCCTTGTGTCTATCTCTAGGCACTTTTGGGTGCACTAGAGAACCCAGGACCACCACCAGACCCCAACCTGAAAAAAAAAAGGTCATTCGTTATCCATTTATCAAATCTTTCTCACTACTATATAATAAACTCAACTTATCAAAACTCATTTACATTTTCTTTAATCTACAGCCGAGGCACAAAATTCAACATTTTAAACTTAACATTACCAAACTCAAGCCACAATCATTTATTTTAATGTCCACTTTTAACATTTCTATTGCTCTACGGCACAAGCATCTGTAAAAAATCAATCTCTGAAAATTTAATCCTTACAAACTTCCTAACGTCACTTACCCTCACTATTCCCCTAGTCTACCTCAAAAAAATACCGGCTCCTTCCACCTCCAACAACAACAACCTGAAAAAACCATTTATTACCTAACCAATAAAACTTACACTAATTCTCAATACAAATATATTAGCCATGAACCACTTCTCATATTACAGCTACAACTTCTCTTTAGTCAAACACAACTACACCTTCCATTTTAAATACCATATTGACGAATTCCTCACCGCAAGTGTAGACGCGCTAGCCATCACCTACAAACTAGACCACGCCTCTTCTCATTCCACAGTATGCCTCTCCGTACACCTGCACAAAGGCATCAACTCAAAAATTTACAACAAACTAGTCAAAATTAATTAAACAAAAGCACATACACAATAACACTACAACACCCCTAGTCTTCAGTGTATAAAAACTACCAGGACGACAACAAAATACGACCATAAACACACACACACAACCGAGAGTGTAGTACCATTATATAGCCTCCAGTATATAACAGCACAAACACAACACCCATTCAAAAATTTCATTCACCTAAACTCGAAATTCTGGCTCTACCTCTGTGCCGGTCACGTCTCTGCAAAAATCAACCTTTCCCACGCTAGTTGGCTCAAACTTAACGCCTCGCGTAAGGAAAGCCCACCGTGACTTCCCAGGTTGTTATTTTCTTTCGAAAATAAACTACCACAAAATCTTAAAAATAAACTACTACAAAACTCTCATTAATACAATTTTCTTCACTATTTAACCAAATATACCAACATATCTTAACTTCCCATGACTTTCAATAACAAGGATTATTTTATTACCAAAAAATTCTACCTTTCCTTTAATCATTTTCCTAAAAGTCATACAACCCAAAACACATCCACCAATCACAATCACCTTTACATACAGCCTAAGTATTCACAAGTAAGTCAGTTAGATGCATCTTTAGCCGACTACATTCAAAACGTTCGACTTTACTTTTATCCTCTTCGCCACTGATCGGTCACGTCTCTTTTCCTTTATATTCTTCACCAAAAGGTCAGCTCGCTAGCTGCCCGGGCAATCGGTCACGTCTCTGTCACGCACTGTTGTCAAATACTGGGCATGCACCGGCTCCTCAATGTACCTGAACCCGCTCCAATGTTGGTCAAGTCTTCTCTTCAAAGAGCTCACACTCGATGCCGTCACAACACTCTGGTAGATTGTTCCAACAATTTACAACCCTCACTCCGAAAAAGTTTGCCCTCACGATTTTCCGGCTTCTTCAATCTTGAGCTGTGACCCCTTGTGGGGCGAGCGTCCGCCAGCTCCAAGCAAGGACACTTAACTGAGTAGTGCCCCCTGAGATGCTTATAAAGCTCAACTAGGTCCCCCCTTGCCCGTCTGTAGTATAAGCTAGGCAACTTCAGGCGCTCCAATCTCTCAGGCGGCTAGCGAGCCGACCTTTTCGTGAAGAATATAAAGGAAAAGAGACGTGACCAAGCGGCTAACAAGCCGATCAGTGGCGAAGAGGATAAAAGTAAAGTCGAACGTTTGGAATGTAGTCAGCTAAAGATGCATCGACCCGACCCTGGGTCTCGTGCTTTATGCCGCTTATTTTTCATACACTCAAAGCAGGCTACCAATTGGCTCACCCATATCAATATTCTTATTCATGTCAAATCCCTATCTTTACCTCGCTAAACAAACTAAACATCAAGAGTCACTTACCTGCCCTCACCCCTCGTTTACCAAAACGTCGCTGTCGGCACATTTATTTGCTTTTCCACTTCACTATATGCACAACACCTCCAATCTCCTACTATACGCATCAAAACACACACGTATGGTTTACTACTTGGCACACAAATGCTGCATCTTTTTTCTTTCTCACTCATTTTCAAGATCCACCACGATCACTATGAACAGTCCAAGCACACATAAATGCTGCAGCTTTCTTTTCTTCTCACTCATTTTCAAGATTCCACCACCATCACTTAAAACTACATTGAACTTCAGATAGACAATATTTTAATAATGAACTTGCTACACAATCTACATGCTCATGAATTCACTTTCCATCACTCACCAACGAAATGACACGATTTCTTGCAAAAACACAACATATTCCGCCAATTTCACAAAGTACACTATTAACACTTCAACTTTTTAAACCACTTAACACGTTTAACACTTAAAGGATTTCATTTCGATTAAACTACCGTCTTCAATTTAAATATCCTGTACTCTAACAACTTGAATTAAGAACAACTTCAAAATCTCCCTAGTTAACCACAGACAGAAATCTTAAATACGTTTCACAGGCCACAAGTCAAATACTTCTATTAAAAACCACAGAAAATGTTTAAGAAAACATTTCCAATGCGGAACACTAACAGCCAAACAAACAAATGTCTAAACACTACTTTATATACTACACTTTACTTTTCTTTTCTTTTCTTTTCTTCTTCACAAACTAAAGGAGTTCTAACAC